CCCCCTCCCCCCTCTAACCCGCCGGGACGTGCGTGATCAGAAATAATAATTATTACAGCACTGCCGCCCCCACCCCTTCTGCTGCTGCTACTGCACCGTGCGCCGCGCCGTGCTACTGCAGCACTTTTGTTTTTTTCGGGCGCCGCACCCCACCGTCTTCAGTGTCGACGTCACGTGGACCCAGCAGGCGCCCGTTCCAAACGCGCTGGGAATCAGTGCTTCTCCGCTTCCGGCACGTTTTATTGGGCTTTTGGCGGCCGCTCTCGGAAGGGGATGAAACCGTGATCTGTTGAGGTAGGTCGCCGGAACAAGGCACGTCTCTGTCGTAAAGAGACGTGTGTTTGAGTTTTGCTAATGTTGAAGAAAGTACTTGTCGACATTTGGCGTTGTGGTGCATGCATTTCTGCAGAATCCTAGCGTCTTCTGACGAGGAAGTTGAGAATGTGAGACACTTCGGGCTACGCCTCTTGTGTTTTCAAATGTTGTTATTTTGTTTTATTTTTAAACAAAACCCAGAACTAAATGTGTGCAGTCACACAGTATTATGAAAAGTTTGAAATAGTGTTCTGTCGTGCAAGTGCGTCGTGATCACATTATGGTCACTGCCTTATGGGGTCTCCAGCTTCAGCCCCTTAGAAGCCAAGCGCCACCACACTTGACGCCGAGCATCGACCTCGATTAAGAAAAGCTGGTGCTGTTTATTATCGCTTCAATCTGATGCACATGCACAAGGGGGGCTTCCCATCGCCGTCAGTTACTATCTCCTGCGAATGGCGGAGCCAGTTATGTGTATCTAAGAGGGCGTTTTTCTGCTTGCCGTCGCCGATCTGCCGCTGAGCTGAGATCTGACCGATAGGCGCCCCCCGCGTATGGAGAAAACACAAACGGCTACCTCGGCGGCGTCCCCCTGCTCCCTCAGTGTCATCGGAAGTTGTTGCTGACTCGAACACATAGCGCCGCCGTACGCCGCGCCCATGTCGCGCCGCGCCGTGGGTTTTGCTTCGTGTGTCGTCTGCGGCCGCGAGGTGCTCCCGCGCTCCGCGTCGTCGTCGCCGCCCTTCCTTGTCGCACGCAGGGCCGCCCGCGACCGGTGCGCGCGCGGGAGCGAGAGAGACGACGACTGCTGTTTGGGCGTGGACACGGCACGGGGTGCGGTAGGTCAGTTCCGCACACAATGCCGGGCTGTTCAGCGACGCGGGCGCGGGGGTTTGTGCGAACTTTGAGCAGCGGCTGAGTTGAGCGCGCGAGCAC